GCGATGGCCTGCAAGCTAGTAGCGATGGCCTCCAGCCTACCAGTGAGGGCCTCCAACCCTACTAGCGATAGCCTCCAACCTACGAGCGATGGCCTTTAACCCAATAGTGATAGCCTCCAACCTAATACAGTAGCATTGGCCTCCATATCTTCTGGCAGAACACCATCTTTTGTCATTTCATACTCGTCCCGCGAGCAGCCAGAAGCTAGCTTCCTGTTGCTCCAAGTCAGTCTGGTTTCCATTGGGTAATTCAAAGCATTGTTGCGACGAATGCAACAAACCCAATCCTCAAAGCAATTCCTACATCTGCAATGTCTTTGGGCCAAATGACAAAACTATGAGTCGGCAAAGGGTGCTGCTAGCCGCTCATCTTTGGGTTGAAGCCCTTGCCGCATGCAACTTTGCACATCGTTGTTAACTAAGTTCTCGCCTTCTCCCAAACAAACTGTCACTGTACATTCCCGAATGTTCGAAGCCCAAGCTAACTCTTGCAGGCTCTATGTCTCTGCTCCTATATCTGTCAATACCTAGGAAGCCATCCAGAGGTTGAAATGATCCAGAACTACACAGGAGGCCCCACCGAGCTGTGAATGAACCGTTGTACTATCACATATTCCTTACTTGGGAGAGTCAGATAGTGCGACAGCTTCAGCTTGGAGAATCCCTGACATGAATCCGGGAAAGATGTGTTCAAACAGCCCGTTTGAGGGTGGGACAGTGACAAGCTACACCGTGCCATGCGTACACTGTTTGGGAAAGAAAGGAGTACAAGTACTCTCTTGACAAAAACAGGGTCTAACCTGGTTGCAAGGGTTCTTCTGCTCCACAATCACTTGTGCCTGTTGGCCCTTCAAACCGGCTCCCACACCACCAGGTGTCTCCTCTCGGTGCACGATGTAGGGACTTCTCTTCCAAAAGTTTTCCAAGGGTGGCTTACAAATGCATCGAAACTGCACATGTGCCAAATGGGTGAAGAAACGATTCCCACGTGCCCCACCCTTCACAGAAGATCTGTGCCGTTCGGCCTGGGCCATGCCCAGTTCCCGCAGCCGTTGAGCAACTGCGACAGGGACCTGAGCATCCAGTCGACTCGGCTGGATGTTAACTTTCTGTTTTGTTTGGAGCTGGGGCAACATCAACACAAGTAGCCAGTCTATGGATCATGCAGCCATGAGGGAAGTGGCCGGATGATGCAGGCTTGCTCCAGGATCTTGGACAAGTGCCATAATGACCATTGCATGACATGATGACATGCACGCATGCAATGATTCTGACACAAAGGTTTGCTTTGACTCTAACAAACACCCACACAGACACACACACACACGACAGATGCGCTATGTTCTGCGCAACAAGCGCGCCACCACTCCACTTTTTGATTTCCCGCTGTGGCAACGAAGCTTTGCCATATGCAGAACATTGCCATCTCGGGAACCAGCAGTGATCACTTGAGATTTTTGAAGAAGCAAAGTTTCTTCCCAGCAATCCTACTTCTGAACATCAAAACCCAAACGACTTCGTGCAACCTGTTTGGTTCCTTTTCAAAAGGTCAACACCATGGCTGTGTACGAAAGAACGCCTAAACTCAATCTCTTTCTTCACAGCAACTTTGGTGAAACATATGACACCTAAAGGACTAGTTCTTCCACGTGGGTTGTCTACCGATGTCCATGCTTGACTTCAAGAATCAAGATGTTCATGTGAGCATGAGCATTAAAGCAAAGGCCCCATTCCTTTACCCACTTACAGGGTCGATCAAGTACACAATGAAATACGTTTTCAAACTCCGATTGCTAGTCCACATGTTTGGTAAACCTTCCCGGCGGCAATCGCTTGTCGCGATGCTATTTCGTGTCCATGTCCCAAAAGACTCTTATCACTTAGGATAGCTTGCCCGGCTTGCCCTGCATAATTTTTTTTACATGTACGCTCCTGTGGTCTGCTGCTCCCTTCGAGTCTAAGTCGTCCGACAGTGTATTAGGATTCTGCTTTGCTCGTCGGAAGGATTGCTAAAAGCAACATGGACTTCTTTGAACATCTCATTTTGCTATCAAATATGTACTAGGTTTCGTATCGTCAAACACACAAGCTTTCCTTAGAGAAAAGTGAGGCTGCGCCTGCAAAACAATGGAACACATTTGGCACGCATCAACAGTTTCTTCCTTTTACATCGAGCTTAATGGTCTTCAAATTGACCGGGCCAGGTGCTTCTCTTCGCCAAACTCACTGTTGCCACCTGACACGCCCAGAATGGACTGTTGAGAAACATGTTCACCATTCCAACCTAGGGCTTCCAAGTCTACAAAGACATAGAGAACACATACCCACCAAACAGGTCCCACCTGACATGTGAAATCAGTTTCCAGATTGCGCTTCACTGCTCAACTGACTTATGAAATTAGTTCATAAGATATATTAGCATGTTGCAACCATTCTTTCATATCTACAATTCCATATTCCTCGCTTATGGCCACGTTTACAGTTTGAACCACGCGATGAAC